GAGAGAGAGAGAGAGAGAGAGAGAGAGAGAGAGAGAAACACAGAAAGAACAGAGTGAAGAAGAAATGAGAACAGCTGGAGGTTAGTAGCATTTCATGGTTTACTCAAACCAACCTGGAGGAGGTGAATCTGATGGGATCAGACAGCAGGACACCGAGAGCTGTTTGGAAGAGCTCATATACTCACTAGCAGAGCTCGACAATACGAACGGCCCAGTGCAACAGTCATACAGTGAGTGTGTGTGGCTTGATGGACATAGACGAAGTTGTTGCAAAATTGTGAAAATTACTTGTGACGGTCTTGGAAATGTTGAACAAATCATTAATTTCAGGAACTAAATCACCGTATGCAATCATTTTCAGTTACATTATACTCATATTACAGAATTTCAGCTATTAGAAAAAAATATTGCACTTAAAATTGAATGTAAATTAAAAATATACCCACAAATTAAAAGCCTAATAAAATGAATGATATTTTATTCAAGTTTAACTACTCTAAATGTAACTATATATATATATGAAGAGTTCCAATGCAAAAGCCTCTAAAAGTCATCTTGGTCAAAAATTAGGTAATACTGAGTGAATGCTCTCCACACATAGTATATGTTCATCAAGTACTTTCACTTCAAACGTGTTAAATCCCAGCCTCAACCCATTCAGAAGTACCAATACTTACATAGAAACCTATATAAGAAATTCTAATTTTAAAGAAAAACGTCAGACGTACTTAGAGGCTTTTGCATCTGAAGTCTTCATATATACACACACATTTTATTCATTTATTAGGGATGGCAAGATTCACCGATTCGCAAAAGTTGGCATTTTTATCGCGATGCATCGTTTCTAACATATTTGCATCAGTAAAAACGGATTTATTTATATATAATTATTAGTAGATGCACTATACTTTTATTTAGAAAGTGACCAATAATTTGTGACCAATATTTTACATGTAGCGCATTCTCTCATCACCTCTGCTGCTACGTGAATATGACGAATCACAACACTACGGAGACCGAGGCGTGTCCTGAGAGTCACACAGAATATAGATTATCATGGCAGTGGTAGAGCTGCATCTTCCACCAAATAATTAGAATGAACCAAAGAAATAAAAACTAATTATCTATACCATATTGGATTGCATGGCATCATACTTTTTTCCACTGCATCGTAATAGGGGTGAATTGTATTGCACTGGTAGTTACTTCATATGTATCTTTAATTTATCGTATCATTGGCTATGCATCAAGATGCACATCGCATCAGACTCAGTTATGGAGATGCACATCCCTAATATATATATTCATGCCACAAAGAAAGTAGAAGGGAAAAAACCTTATTGTAGATCCCTAGCTAGGATGACATTCACCGTATTTCAATTTTAATTCTCATGCCTTCGTAAAATATGTAAATAGCAGATTGGGAGCTTAGAGCTGACTTTGAGAAAACAAAAGCAGTCACCCGAAGTGAAAACGTCTATTTTCACTAGTGACAACACATGCATTGGAAGATAAAATGCATAAAACACTTAAATAAATATAAAACGATAAATAAAAATAATGAAATTTATATATACATTTTACAGCTTTAAAAAAATGTTACAAAAAATTCACTGTAAAATTATGAAATCTGAAAGATATCTATTGCAACACTGCTCTCCTTCAGTAAAAAGTGGGGAATGTTTTAAAACACGGTTACAAAAAATTCACTGTAAAATTATGAAATCTGAAAGATATCTATTGCAACACTGCTCTCCTTCAGTAAAAAGTGGGGAATGTTTTAAAATAATAATAATAATAGGGTGTTATTACATAATATAGAAATATAACTTTTAGATTTTCTGAAGAAACGGTTGCTAGGGTGCTCTGAGTATTAGACATAATATTCTCAAATGGCTCAGATCTGCTCTCTTAATGCAGGTCTGGGAGATCTCTCCTCAACACGCAACACAATTTGAAGTATGATTCATTTTCAGTGGCGTTTAATACTTATATTTTGGTTTTAGGGTTTGTTTAAAACCACAACCCTAAGTATTGGTGATGCTAGCTTGTGAAGCCTCTCCATTCGCAAATTGAGAGAATAGGTTTATCGGCACAGGTGGATACTTTTACTGACATTTACTACTAGTGCAGTACAAACACAGCTTATAAATGGCAGGTAATCATGCGGTTTAATAAACAGACGTTAGAACAGAATTGACCGTCATCTACTTCCATGAGAAAACCTGATTAAAAAGCCACAGATATTTGAATAGTAGGAGAGAATGAATTTGCCTATCATGTAAATATGGGGAAACCAACGTGCAGCGCTTTAGGAACTTTCCCCACATGAAAATATCGCCTTTATTAAGAAACGAGAGCTCACGTTCTCCTTGCTATAATGTCTCATATAATAACCATAGAAGAAACCCATGACTTCTACCAGTGCTTCTGACTTTATTAGAGCCACAGCAATAAAAGCACATAGAACTGAAAAGGAAGTAAAGAACAAAAAGGACAAAAATGAGATGTTTACATAGTTTTACATAAAGCCAAAATAATTAAAGGTTCTGTACAAGAATAGATGGATAACAAAACACAATGTAGAGGGATGAGAGGAAAAGAAAGGCTGGAAAGAGCAGAGTGAAGTCGTTCAGCCGGCGGGACGCGTCTTTGATGAACAATTTATCTGCGCAGGAAGGAAAAGTGAAAAGAAAAAAGGTGATGGAAGGGACAGAGAAAGCAATCAAACACAAGAAGAGGGAAGAAACCACCACATACAGGAGCCACGATGCTTATTTATTCTACAGAGTCTCCATTAATCTCTGATATCAGAAACATATCCGGCTAATGCTATATCCCTGATAAATGCTGAATGGCCATAGAGAGGAGCCAAACAACCTCACGGCTGACTTACCAAGCAGTTCACGCTCCTAAACAACTACTACATATGACACGACAGATACGATCAGAAAGCATCTCTACACAGCAGGCTGTGGGCCTATCTTCTGAACAGAAGAAGACCTTGTTAGTAGATCAATTTTACACCAGAGGAGAGGAACACACAGGAAGTCACGGAGCATGAAACATTTCCCACTGTAAAAACGTGGAGCATTTCTGACTATACATCACATGCTTTGGGGTTAAGACTTCACAGTACTGCCAGTAGGGCTGGGTCATATAGTCCATCTTTAGAAAGCTCTCTATATTATTGTGTTATACAATTACTTGTTTAACTTTCATAAAGATAGTTAAATGACTTTGAGATTAGACGGATTTCTCAAGTCAGAATAGCAACAATATCAGGAAATTCAGTTCATGAATCAGTACATTTTTCAGTGAATCGGTTTAAACCGACTTTGATTCAGTGATGACTTTTTTTCCCACAGAAATCCCCGTGTCAAAATGTTTTTGTTAAAAATATGCACTACCTTTTCAAATGCTTGGGGTTGGTAAGATTTCACTGTTTTTGAAAGACGCATGTACACCAAGAAAAATTGTGAAATATTATTACAATTTAAAAGAACTGTTTTCTATTTAAATATATTTTAAAATGTAATTTATTCCTGTGATGCAAAGCTGAATTTTCAGCATCATTACTCCAGTCTTCAGTGTCACATGATCCTTCAGAAATCATGTTCATATGCCGATTTGGTGATTAAGAAACATTTCTTAATGTTGAAAACAATTTTTGCCGCTTAATATTTTTGTAAAAAAAAAAAAATTTTACGAATCTTTTAATATGTTCCTTTAAATGGTTAAAAAGAACAGTAATAGTAATCAATTTACTGCATCCTTGCTGAAGACTAGTAATATTTTCTATCATTTCTAATCTAATAATTAATAATATACATTTTCATATATTTATTAATTTATATTATTTTTAATTTTAGCATCTTACTTTACTGACCTCAAACGTCTGAACGGTAGGTAGTGGGTGTATTAATTTTTTTACATGCATGTTATGTTAATATAAACAAAAATGAAATATTCTGAGCATTTATTTAGTGGAAAAAATATTTCATTTTTATACTTTTTTTAAAAAACATTTTCTCAAACATTTCAATTGAATATATATATATATATATTTTTTTTTTTTTAATATTTAATTTTACATTTTTATAACAAAATATAAATAAACTTAAAGCTGTATCACCCAGCCTTAGTAGCAAAAATGTAACCAAAGTTTTGAGTTAGAAGTTTTGTTTTCTCACAAGATTTAAAAAAAGTAATACAATAGTTATGACTTCAAATCACAAGACTCATATACACTGACTCTACAAGCCATGGCCTTAACATTAACACATGGATGGATTTGCAATAAGCAAAATACTTAAAATACCTCAAATAACAGTACAGGACCCATAAGTCTTGTAGAGTTACAGAGATAGAGTTTTAAAAAGAATGAAGATACAAGACCTTATTTAGAGCGGGTGAGAGGGGAATTATGAGTAATGGGGGAAGGGCACAGGCAGAGATCGCAGATGAATTACATTGAAGTCATGTCGTTGAGAGCGTGGTCCAGCTCCTCGCTGATGGCTTTGTACTTGAGTTTCTGGGAATACAACTCATCTATCAGGATTCAGGACGGTGTGTTTGATGGAGGGGAGACAGAGAAGGGTGGAGAGGAAGAGGTGGAGGGAAGGGATAAAAACAGGTGCAGGAGTGAAGCATCCAATCCAGTGGCAAGACCGGCCCCGGTGAACAGAGTGACAGACAGCGAGAGGTGGAGGGAAAACAGAAAATAAAGTTAAGGAGGAATGGAAAGGAACTGAAACACAAGGCAAAGACCATGACACATTCGTCAGAGCCACCGTGAAATACCAAACTGGGTCGCTCGCAGGTCACTTACTGAACAAGATGTTAAATTAAATCTGTCATGATTTATTCACCCTCAAAACCGGCATGACTTTCATTCTTCAGTGGAAAACAATTTCATTTCTGCAAAACACCCAGAACACCTCTTTTCAAGCCTTTTGTAGCTCTTAAATCTCATTCAACTCAGATATGGCTTGTCTAGATGTTATTCCAGGTGTCACTGGTTTCTGTTTCTCTTGTCATTGATATCAAACCTCCGTGTCTTGAATATTTTGCATTCTTTTTATATAGTGCACAAGTCATACACTGCTTTTACAGTATGTCAAAGGTTGTGTGTTAGCACATGCCAATAATATAAAATAAATTCACTACTGTTTAAAAGTTTGGGGTCGGTAAGATTTTTATGTTTTTGAAAAAACAAGTGTCTTATGCTCAGTCACCAAGGCTGCATTAATTTGATCAAAAATACAGAAAAAAATAAAAATGTTACTACAATTTAAAATAACTAAAACCGTTTTCTATTTGAATAGATTTTAAAACGTAATTTATTCCTGTGATGGCAAAGCAGAATTTTCAGCATCATTATTACATGATCCTTCAGAAATTATAAATCATTTGCTGATTTTCTGCTCAAGGAACATTTCTTTTCAATGCTGAAAACAGTTGTGCTGCTTATTTTTGTGGATACCATGATTCACTTTTTTTCAGGATTCTTTAATGAATACAAAGTTTATTTAAAGGGTATTTATGTAAAATAGAAATCTTATGTAACATTATAAATATCTGAACTATAACTTTTGATCAAGTTAATGCGTCCTCTCTGAACAATTTTTTTTGTAAAAAAATAAAAAACCTTCCAAACCTTTGAACAGTTGTGTAAATATTCTTTCAAGGTGATTTTATTGTCATTTTGGGACTCATTATCAATTCCTATTATGGGAAAAGTGGGAAAGAAGCACTCTGGGAATTCACATGTGAACTTTGTTCATGTTCCACAGAAGTAAATGAAATCAAACAGGTTCGACATGAAGGCGAATAAATAACAGTTTTCATTTTTGGATAAACTACCCCTGTTAAGGTTCTTACTGATGCCTCATTGACCAGGATGTTGAATTATCATAGATACATTAAAGTGCAAACACGGCGTTACAGTTATGAAAATGAACTTGGGCTTGTGTAAATCCAAATGAGCAGGACGGGAGAAGACCATTTAACAGCAGCTCATAAAAGCCTAATCTAGTTTAAATGCTGCGTGTAATTGCACCTCAATAACACGGGTGTCATCTTATAAAACAATGTGAAGTCTGTGTGTGGATCTGCACAATGACTGGTCTCTTCGCAAGAGGTAATGCTTAACTGTGCGACTGAACGATAAGAAAGCCAGTAGGGCAGAAGGTTTGAGGAACAGAATGACAGTAGAGAATTAAAAGGTTGAAGGCTTTATGACCTGAAGCGAAAGCAGTCATCGCTCTGAATACTTCACAACCACACGCATGAATAAAAATGGGACCGGGACTGAAATGACATGAATGAATGAAAATGAAAGTCGTACCTTCAAGGTCATCAATGGTCTTCTCAAGCTTGGCGACTGACCTCTCAGCGAACTCGGCACGGGTCTCGGCCTGCAGCAGAAAAAAAAAGTTAGTCATTTCTAGCTAATAAATTATTTAAATGCCCAGAACTGGTGAAATTGTTTTTTTTTATCAAATAAATTATTATTATGTGAGATGTATACACCATGATGGTAATCAAAAACTATTCATATAGTCAAGTAAGACTTGACATACTAGCCTCCCCTGGACAGAAGGATGACTAAATATCATATGATAAAGATGTTCATACCTCCTTCAGTTTGTCAGTGAGGACCTTGATCTCCTCCTCATATTTGTCTTCTTTCTGCGAGTACTGCAGACATCAACACAAACCAGCACACATGAGCACTTAGCACTACATTAGCACTCTGCTCAATAGCACACTTAGACTGTTTGTTACGGCACATAAACCTGATTTTTCGTCCCAAGTCTGATCTCTAGGACTGACCACCTTTTGTAAATGACAACATTATGTAGTCAATATTCAATTATATCTACTTCGGTTGCCATAGTAGTGACTTGAGCACCAGCAAGAAGTTTAAGAGTAGTTGTAACTGTAGAAATTTCACATTCACACACAAAATTGATATTACCTTTATTTTGATTATTGATAACTAGCGAGTGACTGGTAACTGTGGTTTTTTACTTGAACATGACTGTGTCCACTGTCAATCTGAAAATTAAATGTATGTTTCGACTGTGTAGATATGTATAGGTAGATGCCACATTCAACCGCATCAGACACAATGATGTGTCCGCTATCTTGGAATGTATCTTGGTCAGTGTGTCATCACTCACAGTAAAAATTTCCAAGAGTTTTCCAAGATGCCACTACATTGTGCTGCCTCAGGTTGTAAAAACCACTGACATGTAAATTATCAAAGAAATGTGACAACTTTTCACAGATGAGAATGTGTTTGTTTTGTGTTTTTAATATGTACTAGGGCTGTCAAAACGATTGATCGCTATTAATCGTATCCAAAATAAAAGTTTCTTTACGTAATGTGTATGTACTGTGTATATATATAAATACATGTATACATTTAAGAAATACATATACATATATATATATATATATGTTTGTATGAATCATGTATATATTTCTTAAAATATATTTATAAATGCACAGTACACACACATTCCACAAAACTAATTTTTAGTCTGGATGTGATTAATCGATCTGACAGCCCTAGTATTAAAGGGGTCCTATTACGCTTTTTCACTTTCAACTTTAGTTAGTCTGTAATGTTGCTGTTTGAGCATAAAAAAGATCTACAAAGTTACAAAGCTCAAAGTCCACTTCAAAAGGAGATATTTTATTTAACAGAAGTCACTTTTCAAAAACTACAATGAACGACTCGTTTGGACTACAACGCATATTTTCCGGGATTTGTGACATCACAAATATCGACGAATGGGACGAGACCTGGTTGAGCTGCACTAGAGAAGGCAAAGAGTGTTATCACTGTGTCGGAGACACGCTAGCTTTCCCAAGGCAGACGAACTTAAGAGTGGTTACAATCATCCGGGTTTAAATCGTGCTCAAATTGATTTGATTTTGACGCAATATTTACACTGAAGCTCGCAGGCGGTTATGGTAAGGGGCATGACATTTCCCGACCAGGCGGCGAGTGCTGCCAATCCCAACACACACTGGCCCAGCTAACCAATCACAACACATTTCATATTTCAGAAGGCAGGCCTTCATTTGATACAGGAACTATTCGAGCCGTTCATGCCAGACTGGGGAGAGAGGTGTTGTAATGTAAAATATGTGAAAAATAATGTGTTTTTCGAACAACCTAGTATGAGAGCCTGTTCTAGTACACCCCCAAAACAAAATCAAGACTTTGTAAAAGAGCATAATAGGACCCCTTTAACTCAACATTAAAAAGTTACCATATTTCAAAAACCTGTAATATTGTGTAAGCTAATGTTGAGCAAAATCATCTGCTAAAATCTACTGGAGATTCAGATATTCATACATACGTATAACTACGGATGCAGAAGCGAAGTTAACTTGCTCTTGAGTATTCACAGACCGACTCGGACCATTCCAATATGGCGGACGACTTACTTAGAAACAGCCACTAATTAGGCATCTATGTATTTCTATCTATGGTGTAGTCAATATTTAATTACATCTGTGTATGTTGCCAAACAACCTAATAATACATCCAGAAAGACATCCAAGAGAAGTTAGTTTATTTTGGATCCCTGTCTGAACAATTACCATAATCACTACCACCAAGTTACCGAAAAAAAAATGTTGATGCACCAGTTAGGCCAGCACCACAGCAGTACAAATCAGAAAATTGGTAATTTCAGCAAAGCTCACAATTCAACCCCTCACTGACATTATACAGACAAAGATGAATTGTTAAACATTTAGAAGCACTGGTTATCACTGTTTGTTGAGGAGGAGGGGTGGACGGTGTGCCTAGGAGAGCAGCAGCAGCACACCTACCTTCTCAGCCTGGGCTTCCAGGGACTTCAGGTTGTTGGTCACAGTTTTCAACTCTTCCTCAAGCTCAGCGCACTTGCTGGTGTTTTACACATAGGTCGCAGAGGAGAGGAGGAAGAACAAGAGGAGGAAAGGTACATTGAGAGAAGGAGAACCAGAAGCAGGTTGGAACAGAGGTACAAAAAAAAAAACACATGAAAACAAAGAAACAAGGAAAAAAGACAAAATCAAAAACAATAAAAAAAAAACTAAAGAACAGAAAAAGACACACAGAAACAACTATAAAACAAAAACAACAAGAAAACATCACAAGAAAACAAAATTAAACCTAAAAAATAAATAAATAAAAGACAAAAACACAAAAGACAAGAAAAAGAACAAAAACAAACCAAAACAAATCAAAAACAAAACGAAACAACAAAGCTATATTTGATCAGATTACAAAATACGGCAAATCTTTTTTTTTTCCCATGCTGAACTGCAAGCATCTGCTTGCTCAAACTAAGTGTGAAAGGACATGTGGCTTGGCAGGAAGTCATTAGTTTCTCTTTTTCTTGTGTGTACGCAAAGATATTATTTAAACTGTACTGAGCTGGATGTTGACATCACTGAATTCAATGATGAACTGTCTTTAACTGAAAAATGAGTGTTTACTATTGTCATTTTGCATTATTGACACTATTTTCCTAATTAATGCTGTTCAGTTGCTTTGTCACAATCTGTATTGTTAAAAGCGCTATATAAATAAAGGTGACTTGACTTGACTTGTAATAAAGCTGAAAAGTATAAAAAGAGTCCTGAAGGATTTCAATAGCTTGAGCCACCGAGGATGCAGCTGAATAAATAATTGTATCATCAGCATTATAAATTTTACTTTGCAGATGTTATTCCATCTGTTAGCTCTGTTATCTTCTAAACCCGTGTTTTCTTGTAATATCACAACAGTCCCCATCAGAACAGATGAATGTGAGGGAAAAAGCACTTAAGAGCTACACCAGGTCTCGGTACAGAGTGGTTCTATGCAGGCGCACTGGGCTGGAGACAGAGGGCCTCTGTGTGGGCAAACAAAGGAAGGGAAATGCAGCCTAGTGGCTCTACAAATTGCTGTTTATTCAGGAACCCACTGGCTCTACGCAAACAGCTCACGTCAGTTGTTTAGGCCAAAAACAGCATCACAACTACAACCGTCCACAATGCCCTTGATTTTTCTGCTATATGCAGAGGCATTTCAACGGCTTTCAAAACTTTCAAAAAACAATGTCTAGTCAGTGCATTTTAAATTTAAAAAAATTAACAAAAACAAAACACTATACATTTTAAATGTTTTATATAATTAAAATTATTATGCATTTAAATAATGCTTCATTTTATAGCATATTATAAATATTATATAAAAAAGTGTGTGTGTGTGTGTATATATATATATATATATATATATATATATATATATATACACACACACACACACACACACATTTATATATAATAAATGAAGAGTTCATTTGCAAAAGCCGATAAACGCCGCTTTAAAAAATAAAAAATAAAAAATAAATAAATAAATAAAAAAAGAGTTGATTGCCGTGTATTATTCTCCACATATAGCGCGATCCGAACCCTAAACACGTTGTGTCAAAAAGCCGGTTTTGTCCACTTTCAAAGCATCGCGATTTCACGTTTTACTGCAGAAGCGAGAAGGGTATAACTGCAGCCCGGAGATCTCCAAATGGGGGCAGGAACTCCAAAACGGGGTGGGAGCTCCAAAATAGGGCGTGGCTTCCTCCCATTGACAGACAGGCACATGACACGCATGCGCAATTTTCCCCCCAATCCACTTCAGTGCAAACTCCGCCCCACAGCTGATTCTAAAGATTTTATTGGTTGTGTCAATTAAAGTGTTGATTTCCTACATTATGCTACAAAAAATGCTAACCCCTAAACCTACCCCACACCTGACCCTAACCTTAACCAGTGAAATTGACTGCACGGCAGGATTGGCGTGGTAAAGAAAGCTGCAGTTCAGGAGATAAACAGTTAATAAGATATGAGATTGTTCCGTAACTCCCCAACTGGACCTCACCGGACAATGGCACCTTTTTAGTTACACCCAGCGTCACTACTCCCTCCTTCCCTGCGAATTTCGAGCCCCGGGACGCCCCGTTGCTTAGAACAAAGCGATAGAGCGATCTTTCCCCTGCGCTGGGCTGGGACTGCTCGAGGGAGAGCTTGTGGGTGATTCCCGTTTACATCATGAAGCAGATGTTCAAACTCCAGTCCGAACACCACTGGCCACGAGCTTTGGGCTCTGCTCTCACGGAGAATATTTATTTATATAGCATATTTTATTTTAGATGAACTACAAACAATGTTAAATTTATAAAGTTTTATTTTGAAATGCAAGTCAATAACAATTGGCTGAAGCCAGAGCCAATGGTGAAAGCCTTTGCGGGAGGAGACCCCGCCCCACATTTGGAGTTCACGCCCCATTTTGGAGATCTCCGGTCTGCAGTTATATCTACTTGGCAGAAGCCGACAAGCGCCCTTGTTGTTTTTGAACAGAAGCCAATAAGTCCATTTTAGCGAATCAGCGCGCTGTATTCAGGTCACGTGACAAGGCTAATTTCACTTTGAAAAGACATGCTAGCTGAGAGGAGTTTCGTCAAAGCTGATTAAAAGTGATCGAGGATGGATCATTTCGACGAACTTGATGAACCTGTGATATCTTCTTCAGGGTGAAAAAGGAAAATGAAAGCTGAAACGTTTTCACTGAACCTTGTAAAAGCAGCGCGTTACAATGGTGAGGGAAAAGCTTGGTGTATTGCGTGTAATCACATCCATACAGTTTATGATCACAACAACAACAACAAC